CGGTGGTGTCTCTGTCAATTGCGATGGCAGAGAAGAGCATTTTGATAGAAGTGGACTGGCCTTGTATGCTAGGTACATCTATAAAAGCGCTGGGTGATCTAGTGTATAGAAATGCGAGAGAGGCTGATAAAGTCAAAATATAGTAAGGGAGCCTACAGTGCAACCATCACGGTAAATTGGGGACGTAGATCATAACCCACTGGAATGTCTAAATGGTACAAGACAAGGGCTGTCCAATGTCCCCCCTGCCATATGTCTTGTCACGTCGAAAAACCGTCTGGTTGTCAAATAAAACATAAATAGTGGATCCGTAAATGGAATTCAGATAGAATCCATAGAACATATAGAGTAGCGGCCTTTGCGGACGACTTCATTGTTCTATGTGGGGAATCCCCCGAATAACTCTTCCAAATAAAATGAAGATGACTGAAGGAGTACGGGGAACTATCAAATTTAAAAATTAATCCAAACGAAAACAGAGATCCTGAATATTAATAGTATCAAAGAATGAAAAAGAAAAACTAACAAAAAGAATCCCCTTTTATATGGATGAGAAAAAGAGATAAAATACCTAGGAATAAAACTCACTGCCTCATCTAACGCATTTGTATAGATTAAACTATATCTCTTTGATAAATGTGATCAGGGAAGATCTAAAAAGGGGGGGGTGTGGGTGGGGGGGGACTAGAAGGAGGGAAATCCATCCTGGATAGGACGTATAAACCTGGTCAAAATGGTAATTATGAGCCTAAAATACTGTATAGATTTCAAATGGTACCAATTAAAATTTCCAGAAGCCTTCTTTAAGATAATGAAAAAAATGTTTAACAAGATACATATGGAAGAATATAAAAAACCTAGAATAGCATATTTAAACATTGAGTAGGACTAAAGAGAAAGGGTGGATTGGGTCTACCAGGATGTCAAAAGATACTATAAAAGCAGTGGTTTTAGCAAGAATATAGACTGGTCATTTAACCATAAGGGAAAAGTTGGGTAACAATTGAAAATGATCTCAGTGCATTAGATTGAGTCAGATGATATGGGTTCCACCACAGTTACAGGGGAATTAAGAAAGCACAAGTATTTACCACTTTAAATGTTTTTGTTAGGGTATAGGGACAATTTACACAAAAAACATGAAATGGGAATTTAAATTCTATATTAATGCCACTCACAAATACTGAGTACTTTTCCCCCCGGGAAAGAATAGGATATCAGGGAGATGGTTTAGAAAGGAGGATACCCAACTGAGAGAAATCTTTTTGTGTGGAGAGGGGAATTGAGATCACCTTAAAGATTTAATAGAGAAGAGGGAGATATTTTTATTTAGAATAGATTGAGTGGAAATATCATCAATTGAAATGTTTTATTGGAAACCTACCTACCGAAACCCCTGAAATAAAACAGGAGTGGAATATGTTTGAAAGGTTGTTAAGAGACACGAAGGGATGGAAGCACGGTATTTCAAAAGTGTATAGAAAACTACTCACCGAATTAGACACAAAACACAAAGTTAATTTTTATTACAAAATGGGAAAGGGAGATATAAGGGAGTTGGGTTTGATGAAGATAGACAACAGAAAGATGTTTAGAATGATACACGATAAATGTTAGTATGAGAGAGTTGAGAGTGTTAATATAAGAAGTGTTAGAGACACGATGGCACATCACATAAAACAAAACTACACGAGTGTAGAGCACAAGGATGAATGGGGAAAACTCAAATATGTGTTGGAAGCAGGGATGTGGAGTAGATAGGCCACGTGGTTGGGGGGGTATGAGATGGGAAAAAGTAGGGTTAAAAGGAAAGGAAAAAGGGAATGGAACTAGCCAGCAAAGTGTGGTGGGAGGGAGCTCACCTGCCTTTTGAATCTACAGTAACCAGGGGGGCTGGCCAGCGGATGCGGCCCAGCAATCAGAGACTCATCTTTGCAGCCAGCTAACACCTGGAACAGATTATGCTGGGGTATTTAAGGGATGGCCAGACTTGCAGACTCTGCCAATGGTGTTGTGTTTCTCTTGGGCCCTGTATCCTGTTCCTAGCTCTCTGTTCCTGTCTGATTCTCTGCTACCTGTTCTGATCCTGGCTTGTCCCCTGGACCATTCCCTCTGCCTGACTCCTCTGTACTACTCTGACCTGCTACCTGTTCTGATCCCTGGCTTGTGACCCTGGACCATCCACCCTCAAGCCTGAAACCTTCTGTACTACGATCATGCAAGCTACCGTGCTGAACCTGGCCTGTGACACCCGACCAATATCTCCGCTTGCTCCCCCTGTACCGACCTGCCCTATTTGATATTGACCCGGCCTGCCTGATGACTGCTTGCTTGTATGTACTGTTATCTGTGGGTGTTGGTTTGTTTGCACTGTATTATGTTTAGTATTGCACTGCGTTTATGTTTGTATTGTTAGTGTTAATCAATTATATAGTTTATCACATATCTGAAGTCTGCGTTTCCCTGCGTCATCACACACCTCTGGTCACACCTGGGAGCCTTGACATTACACAAGGCCAATCCTGGACCAGAAGTGGCTGCACAGGGAAGCCATCTTGGCTTGTTGCTGGGAAGGATGGATCTGGATGAGGTTGTGTATTTATATCTGCTAGTGTTTGATGACAAGGGAGTATGCTTATCAACACTCTGAAGGAGTATCCCAGGGATCAACTACTAGAATACGGTCTACTCATACGGGCTATTGCTAGGATTTCAGGGGGAGTGTTCTAGTAGATCAGGCACAGAGTTCTCTGAGGTAGCAAGCCATTGATTGAGGTTTGTGCTGAGTTGGTTTCATCTGGTTCCCCCGAATGCAGGGATGAATTTTTGCCACCATTTAGTGCAGACCAGGTAGAGTCCCTGGTGTGGTTATTAGAGGATGATGTGGGTTACTTTCTGGAGCGTTATTCCACATGTTCACCACAGACACTAAGAGATTGTATAAACGCAGTGCAGTCATTGACCAGACAGGCTTTGTGTAAGCTCAGCTTTGTTCAACCCATACTGCAGACGATGGACAGACTTGTTGCACCCAGCCTCAGTCAGCTTACAAAAACCCAGTCCTGCTTCTAACTCTACTCCTGTATTCCCACCAGCTCCTCCAGTTACAGCAGCCCAGTATACTTGGCTATCTACCGCATGTCAGTACCCTGTTCCCACTTGCTGCAACTGCTGCACCTATCCTGCCTTTAACCCTGTAAAAAAGCCCTCATGTAGCAACTGCTCCCTCCACGCTCCACTGTTCCAATCCTCCAGAGATTTCTTCTCTGTCTCCAGCTGCTCCATTCGTTTGCACAAAAAAAGACCTGCCGTTTACTTGCAGTGCTCCATTAGTTAAAACCAGAAAAAAAGCGCGAAAAATTCTTTCCAACTCATACCATCCTGCCATATCCAAACCGGTGAACCTGCCTTCCGTGACTCAGCCTGAAGCCTCTACTCAGCCTGAATGCCTCTACTCAGCTGAAGACCTATCTCTCTTCAGTCCGGATGCCTCTCTTCACCTGATGCCTCTCTTCAGCCGATTGCCTCTCTTCAGCCGGGATGCCTCTCTTCTCAGCCTGATGCCTCTCTTCAGCTGATGCTCTCTTCAGCTGATTGCCTCTCTTCAGCCTGATGCCTCTACTCAGCCTGAAGCCTCCTGAAGACCTCTACTCAGCCTGAAGCCTCTACTCAGCCTGAAGCCTCTACATCGGCCTGATGCCTGCATTCAGCCTGATGCGCTACTCAGCATGATGAACTGATCCACAGCCCGACGATCCTATTAGGCAGAGTTGACTCGATGCCCGCTGTTGATCCAGATGATCCGGTACTGATCCAGTGCCCGCTGTCGTGCCAATTGACTCAGAGCACGCTGTCATACCTGGTGACCCGGTGCCCACTGCCTTGCCAGAATGACGCGGTGCCCGCTAGGCAAGCCAATGACCTGATGCCTGGTGACCCAGTGCCCGCTGTCCATACCTGGTGACCCGATGCCCGCTGTCGAGCCTGACAATCCGATACCAGGGGATGACCCAAGTGCCCACTGTCATGCTATGTTGACTCGGAGAGACCCTCTGTCTTGCCAGACGACTCGGTGCCCCGCAGTCTTGCCAGACGACTCGGTGCCCGCAGTCTTGCCTGACGACTCGGTGCCCGCAGTCTTGCCAGACGACTCGGTGCCCGCAGTCTTTGCCAGACGACTCGATTGCCGCTGTTCCGCCAGACGACTCGGTGCCCGCAGTCTTGCCAGACGACTCGGTGCCCGCAGTCTTGGCAGACGACTCGGTGCGCCGCAGTCTTGCAGACGACTCGGTGCCCGCAGTCTTTGCCAGACGACTCGGTGCCCGCTGTTCCGCCAGTTGACTCGATGCCCGCTGTTCCGCCAGTTGGACTCGATGCCCGCTGTTCCGCCAGTTGACTCGGTGCCGCAGTCTTGCCAGACCACGACTCGGTGCCACGCAGTCTTTTGCTCAGGGAGCTTGGTGCCCGCAGTCTTGCCAGACGACTCGGTGCCCGCTGTTCCGCCAGTTGACTCGATGCCACCGCTAGTCTTGCCAGACGAACTCGGTGCCCGCAGTCTTTCCGCCAGACGACTAACGGTGCCCCGCAGTCTTGCCAGACGACCCGGTGCCCGCCAGTCTTGCCAGACGACTCGGTGCCCGCAGTCTTGCCAGACGACTCGGTGCCCGCAGTCTTGCCAGTACGACGTCGGTGCCCGCAGTTCCGCCAGTTGACTCGATGCCCGCTGTTCCGCCAGTTGACTCGATTGCCCGCTGTTCCGCCAGTTGACTCGGTGTCCCGCAGTCTTGCCAAAGACCGGACTCGGTGCCCGCAGTCTTGCCAGCGAACTCGGTGCCCGCAGTATTGCCAGACGACTCGGTGGCCCGCTGTTCCGCCAGTTGACTCGATGCCCGCATTTTTGCCAGACGACTCGGTGCCCGCAGTCTTGCCAGACGACTCGGTGCCCACTGTCGTGCCTGGTGACTCGGTGCCCGCCGCTTCGTCTGGGGGCCCGAGACCTGTCGCTCCACCTGGGGGTCCGGCGCCCGCCGCTCCGCCTGAGGGCCCGAGACCTGTCGCTCCGCCTGGGGGGCCGAGACCTGTCGCTCCACCTGGGGGGTCCGGCGCCCGCCGCTCCGCCTGGGGGCCCGAGACCTGTTCGCTCCATCTGGGGGGCGCCCGCCGCTCCGGCGCCCGCCGCTCCGCCTGAGGGCCCGAGACCTGTCGCTCCATACTTGGGGGTCCGGCGCTAGCTCGCCTGAGGGCGCCTCTGTCGCCTGGGGGTCCGGGCCCGAGACCTGTCACTCCATCTGGGGGTCGCGGCGCCCGCCGCTCCGCCTGAGGGCCCGAGACCTGTCGCTCTGCCTGGGGGCCCGATGCCTGTCGCCCTCCTGGGGGCCCGATGCCTGTCGCCCCTCCTGGGGGCCCGATGCCTGTCGCCCCTCCTGGGGGCCCGCACGCCTGTCGCCCCGCCTGGGGGCCCGACGCCTGTCGCCCCGCTGGGGGACCCGACGCCTGGCGCCCCGCCCGGGGGGCCCCGACGCCTGCTGCTCCGCCCGGGGGCCCGGCGCCTGCTGCTCCGCCCGGGGGCCCGGCGCCTGCTGCTCCGCCCCGGGGGCCCCGGCGCCTGCTGCTCCGCCGGGGGGGCCCGGTGCCTGCTGCTGCTCCGCCCGGGGGCCCGCGCTGCCTGCTGCTCCGCCCGGGGGCCCACTGCCTGCTGCTCCGCCCGGGGGCCCCGGTGCCTGCTGCTCCGCCCGGGGGCCCGGTGCCTGCTGCCCCGGCCCGGGGGCCCGGTGCCTGCTGCTCCGCCTGGTGGCCCGCTGCCTGCTGCTTCGCTGGTAATCCGATGTGCCTCTGCCCGGAGTCCTGCCCCGATGTGCCTCTGCCCGGAGTCCAGCCCGATGTGCCTCTGCCCGGAGTCCAGCCCGATGGCCCCTCTGCCCGGAGTCCAGCCCGATGTGCCTCTGCCCGGAGTCCAGCCCGATGTGCCTCTGCCCGGAGTCCAGCCCGATGTGCCTCTGCCCGGAGTCCTGCCCGATGTGCCTCTGCCCGGAGTCCTGCCCGATGTGCCTCTGCCCGGAGTCCTGCCCGATGTGCCTCTGCCCGGAGTCCAGCCCGATGTGCCTCTGCCCGGAGTCCAGCCCGATGTGCCTCTGCCCGGAGTCCAGCCCGATGTGCCACCCCAAAATCTCTGCCCGGGAGTCCAAGCCCCGATGTGCCTCTGCCCGGAGTCCAGCCCGGTGTGCCCCTGCCCGGTGTGCCGCTGCCCCCGGAGTCCTGCCCGGTGTGCCAGTCTTTGATATCCCGCCAGTTACCAGACCCGGGCGGTGGAACATTTTGCCCAGCTAGGACTGTTTGGAGCGTCCTGAGGCCGCTCCTTGAGGGGGGGGTACTGTCAGGAATGGACTAGCCAGCAATGGGGGGACTCACCTGCCTTTTGATCTGCAGTACCAGGGCTGGCCAGCGGATGCTCCCAGCAATCAGAGACTCAACCATCTTTGCAGCCAGCTAACACCTGGAACTGATTATGCTGGGGTATTTAAGGGATGGCCAGACTTGCAGACTCTGCCTTGGTGTTGTGTTTCTCTTGGGCCCTGTATCCTGTTCCTGCTCTCTGTTCCTGTCTGATTCTCTGCTACCTGTTCTGATCCCTGGCTTGTCTGACCATCCCTCTGCCTGACCCTCTGTACTACGCTGCCTGCTACCTGTTCTGATCCCTGCTTGTGACCCTGACCATCCCTCTGCCTGACCTTCTGTACTACGCTGCTAGCTACCTGCTGAACCTGGCCTGTGACCCCGACCAACTCTCCCTTGCTCCCCCCTGTACCTACCTGCCCTATTGATATTGACCCGGCCTGCCTGATGACGCTTGCTTGTATGTACTGTTATCTGTGGGTGGTTGGTTTGTTTGCACTGTATTTATGTTTAGTATTGCACTGTGTTTATGTTTGTATTGTTAGTGTTAATAAATTATATTGTTTATCACATATCTGAAGTCTGCGTTTCCCTGCGTCAGTCACACACCTCTGGTCACACCTGGGAGCCTTGACACACTTATATGTGTTTCCACACACAAATAGGTATATTGTATGTTAGTGCCGCGCATATAATCCTATATACTTATATACAATCTCCTAAGTATATCAAAAAACATCCAAAGCTTGTGATTATTAGACACTTGTGAATACAATGACCACAACTTATAGTCCTTCATATGTGATTTTATCCATGCATATATGATTTTTTTGCAAACAGGTGCTCTTTATTCTTGTGTCCACATATATTCTTAAAGGTGCTCCTCCACCAGAGACATACATATACTCTCACCTCCTTATATGACCCAAATTGCATAGGTCAAATACCGCCTTTCCCTTTTAACCCAGGTAGGTATAATGTATTATTGGCTCCAATCTCCTCTTCACTCTGCTGCAGATGGTCTTGCCTCCTCTTTATCCCACATATCCTCCACATATGTAAACAGAAACGCTTGCCATAGGGTAGTACTTAAATAACTCACATTTAAAAGTGTCCTGCTGGGACACCACAGTAAAAATGCCTCTGTAACAATATAATTCCAATGCATTTAGGAATTTCCAAGATGGCAGCTCATAAACTTAGCGGCTTGACGTCATCGACCCACCCTACGTGTTACATCACGTGACTTCCTAAGGAGGACGGGTGCTGATGGACACCAAAGTGCACTGATTGTCACTGGTGAGCACTGTAGGGCAATGATGAGCACTGTAGGGCACTGATGAATACTGTAGGGCACTGATGAGCACTCATTGATGGGCACTGATGAGCACTGTAGGGCACTGATGAATACTGTAGGGCACTGATGAGCACTCATTGATGGGCACTATAGGGCACTGTTGAACACTAATAGGTCATTGATCAGCACTATAGAGCACAGTAAGAGGCACAGTAGGTAACAAAAACTCAAGGTGTGGCAACCAAATCTTCTCCTTGCCTCTCACTCAGTATCGGTGTGAGGAAAGGAGAGAGCTGACCCAGGAATCACCTTGCTTTGTGTTTACAAAGTGATTGCTGTTATTGGACAGAGTGATCACATGGTAAAGGGTGCTGTAATTGGCCCTTTACCCAAATCCTTGATGTGCTGTGTCTAAGGGACACATTTGTTAACGTAATACAGTTTTATATTTTAGATTTAGGCTGGCCATACACTATACCATTTTCTTACAGTTTTCTGTCCAATTTCTGCCCAATTTCCTTAAGCTTTACCTTCAACTATGTAGTGCAAGGGCCTGTCTAATTGGATACAATTGAACGTATTGTTCATGTTTAACCTCATATTACAGTACAGTATATGGTTTTAGGTAAATCTAAAGCAAAATTCTCAAGAAAAATTGTATAATGTATGGCCAGCCTTAGTGGGAATTCTGTAGAAATTTTGTAAGTTTTGTTGTGTTTGTGTCTGCTAAGAACAATGACTTATATATTTTTTTTTGTGAAAATATCATTTTGACAAACATTTGCTCAACTATGGCAGGACCTAAGAAATCTGCAGCACTTTTTATTTTACCAGTCCTATGCTTTCAGAAAAGGTGGGTTGGGGGGGGGGGTTTAGTTTATGAATTCTGAAAGCTCTAAGTGAAAAATGATTACTTTCAGACTTTTATTGCAAGTTACTTACAGCATTTACAGTTTTGAGTACCTTTGATTTTCACTACTTCACAAACAGGCACAATTTAAAATTTACAAATATTTGTTATTTATTAACTCAATACAGTTTTAACTTTTAGATTTAGTAGGAATTTTGTAAATGATGTTGTGTTTGTGTCTTCTAATAAAGATTTTATTGCAAACATATTATTTGGCTAAAATTTGTACAACTGTTAAACAACCTAAAAATGTGTCATTTAATTCTATAGATCCTTTGCATTCAGAAAATGTTTGGTCTGGGTGGTTTTTTTAATAACCTCTGAAGTCTTTCACGGGAAAATTAAAGAACATTGGAAAATTTTCAAAAATTATTTGGCTATCTGAGTTTAAAAGTCAAGCACAGGACTTGGTATCAAAAGAGTTAAAATGATCCTTCATGTCTAGGGGACTGTAAAAAGAACTGTAATTTTCTGATACCTGCTTTCCCAGCAGTCAGCACCCTCATACTCTCTAGGGGTGGACTGTCCCTCAGCACTCATCATTCTCATGGCTAATGCAGGGCCAAGTGCACTGCAATGCACTTGATAATGTCAGAGGATCTGGAACTGTGTGAGCATAAAGGAGAAAATGTTGTGGAAACTGGTTTAGCAGTGTGCAGGAAGTCTGGAAGTGGAGGATAAGGGAAGTAAAAGTGCTTTTTCCAGTACCCTAGACCTAAAACTATCATTGAATCCATGCTTTGCAGGAAAAACCTCAGTACAAGGCAGGATTTTTGGATTCCCTGGAATTCAGCTTTAACTTCTCAATCAGGATAATGCAAATATTATAGTGATGTTTAATGAGGTACATACCAGAGGTGGACTGACCATTTGGGAACTCGGGCACTGCCCGAGGGCCCGTGTCAGTAGGGGGGGGTCCCCATGAGATACCCCTGGCACCTTTCATAGGCTTTTTTGGGTGTGGTTTGAGCGTCGGTGAGGACACAGGGGCCCCATGATCCCCTATTGCCTGGGGGCCCCATGAGTTGTCAGTCCACCCCTGGTACATACTTTACAATTTTTGTTGTTTTAAAATTAGTATCATGTTGTCTACTGCAAGCAGTCATTATTTTTGTGCAGAGTAGAAAATGAAGAAAGACATCAGCGTACATTTGCTCTTTTTTTAGTGATAAAATGGGTACAAAAGTAGAAACCTTGGTTCAGAAAATGTAGCTCAACACTATTCATAAAGCATAGGCAAGAATGAAACTTATTGTACTGCAAATCACTATTCCAAGTGTAGTAAAATGTGGCATATCATTTATTTTGTAAATCTGAAAACATTAATAAGGACAATTTATTTAACATATGCAATCAGAGAACAACCTATGTTATACATTATTGAAATGTTTTTCTTTCTTTAAATCGAGTTAAAGTGTAAAACAATAATACTGAATTAGGCAGACTGATGATTGATAATGTAACTAATATTCTTAATTTGCCCACACACATTTGTATACCTCTGGAGGCGTTTGCACTATTTGAATATTAAAATGTTAATATTATAAGTTCCATAAACCTTTTAATGCACATTCTTTTGATAAATTGCATTGTCAGCCACACATAACATTTGTAAGGAAATGTATCAATTGACATTAGTCAGTCATCATTTACAGACAATTCTTTTTAGAATATGAATACATTTAAGCCGCTGGTTTCAACTTCTTGAAGAAGAGCTGGAAAAGGACACAGATGATGTATTATAGTGAGTCACATATTGCTTTACAAACCTTTTTTAAAGAAAAATTAGATTATATAAAGGAAGTTGTACATTCTGTATATAATTGTATTCTGTTTTGTATGTTTTTCCTATGTATTGCACACTGCACTCATTGTGCATACGGCACTAATAATGTCTTGAGTACATGTTGGCATTCTTCCGAGTCCTGATTAGAAATGACCTTTCCTATGTTTTACCCTTTGTTACCATAACAGCGCAACTGTAATTAAAAAAGTTTTTTTTTTAACCAACATCGTGGCACCTACCCTAATGACAAATATGAATACAAACAAAATAAATACATGCAGCTGCCCTTTCAAGTGAAAATTCACTAATAATAATATAATAACACATAAAGGTATGGAGCTTACACACTCTAATATACCTAATATATCTAATATAACATAACTAACCACTCCAAAGTGAATAAGCTAACACAAAAAAAAGTCCAGTATTGTGCAAATTCCCAGCACCACACTGATTCAATAGTTCTTTGTGTGAAATTGTTCTGTCAAATGAATCCTCCACATTTTTCACCACATGTGCTCACAAAACAAATAAACACTCACCATAGGTTTATGACCCCTTTTTACAGATAGGTCAAATAGCACAATTGTAATATTATTGTGATAAAATATATTCTGTAAGGTCGGCGCTGGCCCTATAAACCAAATACATAAAATATGTAATAACTTAAGAATAAAACTTACTACACTATCAGATCTCTCTCTGGAATTTCCATTTTTTTTTTTGTCTTGGGTGTATGAGAACTACAGTATATAATGACATCCATGGCTGGATTAAATACAGCAGTCCCACATCATGGATTGTGACATCTGATGCTTTCAAGCTACAGGTACATTGTTGGCCATAGGAATGTGGTGAGGGAGCAATTCAATTACACATGCATGTGGTTGAACACTTTTTTTTTCTTTTTTAGATGAATCATCACCTAAGTATATCCTCAAATGTATAGTAATTGGGAACTTTTACAAGACACCTTTGGACTTTATATTGGTTATGCTGCATTTATGAATCCGTTGAATATTTTTAGTGTAGTTGATAGTGTTTAATTGTATTATTTTGTCTTACATTATTACATATTTTGAGTATTTGGTTTAAAGAGCCAGCGCCAACCTTATATATTTTTTTCACATTGTGTATATTATTATTCTTATTATACAGGATTTATATGGCGCCAACAGTTTGCTTAGCGCTTTACAATATAACGGGAGACAATACAGCAACAATACAGTTCAATACCAGAGGGATAGGAGGGCAAGGTCCTCATAGCTTACAATCTAGGAGATTGTGTATAGTGTGTGTTACAATGTGTGTTAATTTATTTACACATTTTATAGGGTTGTGCCCTCTCAACCCCCCTTTTTAAAATATTATTGTGATACTTACAGTTGCAAGAAAAAGTATGTGATCCCCTTGGGATTACGTGGAGTTTTGCATGAATTGGGCATAAAATGTGCTCTGAACGTCATCTAAGTCACAACAATAGAAGAACACAGTCTGCTGAACATAATACTACACAAACATTAGATGTTGCCATGGTTTAACTGCACATAACATGTAAACATTCACAGTTCAGGGAGGAAAAAGTATGTGAGGCCCTAGCTTAATGACTTCTCCCAGAGCTAATTGGAGCCAGGAGTGAGCCAACCTTGACTCCAATCAGTGTGATGATATTGGATGTGTTGCTGACAGCTGTCCTGCCCTTAAAAAACACACACCTGTTTTGGGTTTACTGGTTTCAAGAAGCACTGTCTGATGTGAATCATGCCTCGCAGAAAAGAGCTCTCAGAAGACCTACAATCAAGAATTGTTGACTTGCATGAAGCTGGAAAGGGTTACAAAAGTATCTCCAAAAGCCTTGATGTTCATGTGTCCACGGTAAGACAGACTGTCTACAAATGGAAACTGTTGCTACTCTCCCTAGGCATGGTCGTCCTGTAAAAATGACTGCAAGAGCACAGAGCAGAATGCTGCATGAGGTAAAGAAGAATCCCAGAGTGTCAGCTAAAGACCTACAGAAATCTCTGGCACATGCTAACATTTTTGTTGACACATCTACAATAAGGAAAACATTAAACAAGAATGGAGTACATGGGAGGACACCACGGAGGAAGCCATTGCTGTCCAAAAAGAATATTGCAGCACGTTGGAAGTTTGCAAAAGAGCACCTGGATGTTCCACAGCACTACTGGCAAAATATACTGTGGACAGATGAAACCAAGATTGAGTTGTTTGGGAAGAACACACAACACTATGTGTGGAGAAAAAAAAGGCACAGCACACCAACATCAAAACCTCATCCCCACTGTAAAACATGGCGGAGGGAGCATCATGGTTTGGGGCTGCTTTGCTGCCTCAGGGCCTGGACGGATTGTTGTCATTGATGGGAAAATGAATTCCAGAGTTTATCAAGACATTTTGCAGGAAAACGTACGACCATAATTTATTTCAGTAATGCAACTTAAAAGGTGAAACTAATATATGAGATAGACTCATTACATGCAAAGCAAGATAGTTCAAGCCGTGATTTGTCATAATTGTGATGATTATGGCTTACAGCTCATGAAAACCCCAAATACACAATCTCAGAAAATTAGAATATTTCATGCAATCAATAAAACAAGGATTGTACATAGAACAATATCGGACCTCTGAAAAGTATAAGCATGCATATGTTTGGGCCCCTTTTGCAGCAATTACTGCCTCAATGCGTGCGGCGTGGCATGGAAGCTATCAGCCTGTGGCACTGCTGAGGTGTTATGGAAGACCAGGATGCTTCAATAGCGGCCTTCAGCTCTTCTGCATTGTTCGGGTCTCATGTCTCTCATCTTTCTCTTAGCAATGCCCCATAGATTCTCTATGGGGTTAAGGTCAGGTGAGTTTGCTGGCCAATCAAGCGCAGTAATCCCATGGTCATTGAACCAGGTTTCAGTGCTTTTGGCAGTGTGGGCAGGTGCCAAGTCCTGCTCGAAAATGAAGTCAGCATCCCCATAAAGCTCGTCTGTGGAAGGAAGCATGAAGTGCTCCAAAATCTCCTGGTAGACGGCTGCGTTGACCCTGGACTTAATGAAGTACAGTGGATCAGCACCAGCAGATGACACGGCTCCCCAAATCAACACAGACTGTGGAAACTTCACACTGGACTTCAAACATCTTGCAGTGTGTGCCTCTCCATTCTTCCTCCATACTCTGGGTCCTTGGTTTCCAAATGAGATGCAAAAGTTGCTCTCATCAGAAAAGAGGACTTTGGACCACTGAGCAACAGACCAGGTCTGTTTTTCTTTAGCCCAGGTAAGACGCTTCTGACGTTGTTTGTTGTTCAGGAGTGGCTTGACAAGATGAATACGACATTTGAAGCCCATGTCCAGGATCCGTCTGTGTGTGGTGGCTCTTGATGCACTGACTCCAGCCTCAGTCCACTCCTTGTGAAAGTCCCCAACACTTTTGAATGGCCTTTTCCTGACAATCCTCTCCAAGCTGCGGTCATCCCTGCTGCTTGTGCACCTTTTTCTTCCACACTTTTCCCTTCCACATAACTTTCTAATAATGTAGTTTGATACAGCACTTTGGGAACATCCAACTTCTTTTGCAATTACCTTTTGAGACTTTCTCTCCTTATGGAGGGTGTCAATGATGGTTTTCTGCACAACTGTCAGGTCAGCAGTCTTTCCCATGATTGTGATTCCTACTGAACCCGACTGAGAGACCATTTAAAGGCTCAGGAACCCTTTGCAGGTGTTATGGCTTTATTAGCTGATTAGAGTGGGACACTTTGAGCCGAGAATATTGCACCTTTTCAAAATATTCTAATTTTCTGAGATTGTGGATTTGGGTTTTCATGAGCTGTAAGCCATAATCATCACAATTATGACAAATCACGGCTTGAACTATCTTGCTTTGCATGTAATGAGTCTATCTCATATATTAGTTTCACCTTTTAGGTTGCATTACTGAAATAAATGAACTTTTGCACGATATTCTAATTTTTCGAGTTTCACCTGTGTATATATATATATATATTATATATATATATATATATATATATATATATACACTGTTCCAAATTATTATTCAAATTATATTTTTCTCATTTACCTAAATAATAAGTCAGAATAATTCTCATGTTATCAACTATTAAGAGTACAATTCAAATTTTATTGAACACTCATAAAAAACTTACAATGCACTGTTCTAAATCTGCACAGTAAGTTTCAGTGTTTGTAACAGAAAATTGTGTTGTGTTTGCAGAATTTACTGAAAAATCAAAAGCTATTTCAATCAAACTTTTAACAACATTTTAACTTTTTAAACATTTTAACAGTCATGTTACATTGTAACATAGGACCCAATTTGCAGCTTCACAAGTCTTCTCCATTGAACTTGTGAGTTTTTGGACAGTTTCTGCTTGAATTTGTTTGCAAGCAGAACAGAGATGCTGTTTGGATGTAAACTGCCTCCCACCCTCATAGATCTTTTGCTTGAGGATGCTCCAAAGGTTCTCAATAGGATTGAGGTCAGGGGAGGATGGAGGCCACACCATCTTTCTCTCCTTTTATCCCCATAGCAGCCATTGATGCAGAAGTCTTTGCACAGATTGATTGTCATGCATGAAGATGATTTTATTACGGACTCTTTTCTGTACCAGGGAAGAAAGTGGTCACCACATACTTTGCAGAGGTCTCTTTACACCTTCGGGGACCCTAAAGGGGCCAACCAGCTCTGTCCTGATTCTGGCCCAAAACATGACTCCACCACCGCCTTGCTGACGTATGCAGCATTGTTTTAGCCATCCACCAACCATTCTACTCTCCATGACCATCCGATTGCATGGTGAACAGGACTGTTTGAGAAAGTCTTCTTATTTTTTCCCAATGTTTCTGCCTTTATCTGGTGGCACAGAACACAGTTGCAAGACTCTGGAGGACTCTACACCTTGTGCTGGGACTCCAGAGGCACCAGCAGCTTCAAATATCATGTAATGGTATTTTAGCAGTCTTTGATCCGATGCATGGATCTGGCAGAAATCTTCCTCAATGATCTGCACGAACCCGTCTGTGCTCTGAATCAGCCACAAATCTTTAATAGTGCATGATCACGCTTAAGTTTTCATGAAATATCTAATGTTTTCATACCTCGTCCAAGGCATTGAACTATTTCACTCTTTTCGGCAGCAGAGAGATCCTTTTTCTTCCCCATATTGCTTGAAAATGGTGCTCTGCTTAATAATGTGGAACACCCTCCTTTAGTAGTTTTTCCTTAAAGTATGTGAACCCCTTGGGATTACGTGGAGTTTTGCATGAACTGGGCATAAAATGTGCTCTGAACGTCATCTAAGTCACAACAATAGAAGAACACAGTCTGCTGAACATAATACTACACAAACATTAGATGTTGCCATGGTTTAATTGCACATAACATGTAAACATTCACAGTGCAGGGAGGAAAAAGTATGTGAACCTTTGGACTTAATAACTGGTTGACCCTCCTTTAGCAGCAATAACCTCAACCAAACGTTTCCTGTAGTTGCAGATCAGACCTGCACAACGATCTGGAGTAATTATGGACCACTCCTCTTCACAAAACTGTTTCAGTGTAGCAATATTCTTGGGATGTCTGGTGTGAATCGCTCTCTTAAGGTCATGCCACAGCAATTCAATCGGGTTGAGGTCAGGACTCTGACTGGGCCACTCCAGAAGGCGTATTCTGTGCTGTTGCAGCCATTGTTTTGTTGAATTACTTGTATGCTTTGGGTCATTGTCCTGTTGCATCACCCATCCTCTGCGGAGCTTCCGTTGGCGGACAGATGGTCATACGTTTTCCTGCAAAATGTCTTGATAAACTCTGGAATTCATTTTCCCATCAATGACAACAATCCGTCCAGGCCCTGAGGTAGCAAAGCAGCCCCAAACCATGATGCTCCCTCCGCCATGTTTTACAGTGGGGATGAGGTTTTGATGTTGGTGTGCTGTGTCTTTTTTTGCTCCACACATAGTGTTGTGTGTTCTTCCCAAACAACTCAATCTTGGTTTCATCTGTCCACAGTATATTTTGCCAGTAGTGCTGTGGAACATCCAGGTGCTCTTTTGCAAACTTCCAACGTGCTGCAATATTCTTTTTGGACAGCAATGGCTTCCTCCGTGGTGTCCTCCCATATACTCCATTCTTGTTTAATGTTTTCCTTATTGTAGATGTGTCAACAAAAATGTTAGCATGTGCCAGAGATTTCTGTAGGTCTTTAGCTGACACTCTGGGATTCTTCTTTACCTCATGCAGCATTCTGCTCTGTGCTCTTGCAGTCATTTTTACAGGACGACCATGCCTAGGGAGAGTAGCAACAGTGCTAAACTTTCTCCATTTGTAGACAGTCTGTCTTACTGTGGACACATGAACATCAAGGCTTTTGGAGATACTTTTGTAACCCTTTCCAGCTTCATGCAAGTCAACAATTCTTGATTGTAGGTCTTCTGAGAGCTCTTTTCTGCGAGGCATGGTTCACATCAGACAGTGCTTCTTGAAACCAGTAAACCCAAAACAGGTGTGTGTTTTTTTAAGGGCAGGACAGCTGTCAGCAACACATCCAATATCATCACACTGATTGGAGTCAAGGTTGGCTCACTCCTGGCTCCAATTAGCTCTGGGAGAAGTCAATAAGCTAGGGCCTCACATACTTTTTCCTCCCTGAACTGTGAATGTTTACATGTTATGTGCAATTAAACCATGGCAACATCTAATGTTTGTGTAGTATTATGTTCAGCAGACTGTGTTCTTCTATTGTTGTGACTTAGATGACGTTCAGAGCACATTTTATGCCCAATTCATGCAAAACTCCACGTAATCCCAAGGGGTTCACATACTTTTTCTTGCAACTGTATATACAATATTACCTTGTCTGTGTGATGCAATAAAAAACAGTCATAATCAATATAATAGCAAACAATGTTTCTAATATTCTCATATCTCATATTCTTTTATTCATCGTTGGGTGATTATTGAATTATTCACTATTAGGACAGCTGCATGTTTACACATTCTATGCACTCATTAATTAGTTTAGGTAAATGATTTATTATGCATTTTTTCAGGTGTAAGATGTTTTTTTCTTTTTTTTTCAATATATATTTTTACATCTCATTTGCGTAGTGAATATACGGCTTATATATTGATTTTGAATGTTTCTCATATAACATCAACATCCAACATCTATTTCATATACTTCTTGGCTCCACTTTCAGGGTAACTTTAGATGTGGTGCATTAGATTGTCAGTCGTGTTCCCATATGATCATGGGGAACAATTTTTGTTCCACCAGTAATGGAAAGGTTTTTCACATCAAACATTTCTTCAATTGTAACACCACATGTTATTTATCTCATCACTTGTCTTGCTAGTCGTACACAATGTGTGGAACGAACAAGCAGAAAGTTGAAGGACAGGTTCCATTAACATTTGGGTGATGTGAGGAATAATCGTTCTACCAATGTGTCTAAACATTTCAATTCTTTACATGGCGGTGATTGTTCCATTATTGGTGTTCAAGTGATAGAAAGGGTTAAGACTCCCATAAGAGGGGGTGACACCTTTTGTGTTCTGTGCAAACAGGAGTTTTTTTTTATTTTTCATTTGCAGTCACGCATCCCTCAAGGGCTGAACCCCGAGTGGGATGTTACTCATTTTTATGAGTAGGGCTGTTGCATTTATTTTTTCATGTTTTCATTTTATTTCTTTATTACATTTTGGGTCAGTTTACTTACCTGTTTGCACGGAACGCATAAAAAGTGTCATGCATCCTTGTTTGTTATGTTTATCCCAATTTTATATATTGGTGATTTGTCCTAGGTATGACACATGGCAGAGGTGTGTTTTCATTTCTGTCAATTGATGTGCTATGTTTTTAACATTGTGTCATGTTCACTATGTTATTCCTGATTCAAGTTAAATTGTTAATTGTCATCAGCTGTCATATGCCTATTTAAGGCTTCTCTTGACAAATGAAAATCAGTAATGACTAAGCACATGTTCGTGTGAAACAAGCCTACTGTTCCTCTGTCCAGTCTTGGAGCTATCTTGTTTTTATCACATTGTCTGCAAAGGATTTCAATAAATCATTTCATCTTCTACATCACTGTCTGTGCGGCCAACCATTTTGTCTTTTCACTGCATCTGTGACCATGGATCGGGCCAGCACATGCGTGCCTGTGGAGGAGTTATACAGATTTGGCACCCACCTGGAGCGGTTCTTTTGTTTTCTCATAATACAATATTACCTTGTCCGTGTGATGCAAGGAAAAAACAGTCATAATCAATATGATAATGTTTCTCATATCTCATATTCTTTTATTCATCATTGGTTCATGAGGTGATTATTGCATTATTCGCTATTAGGGCAGCTGCATGCTTACACAGTCTATGCACTCATTTATTGATTTAGGTGAGTGGTTTATTATGCATTTTTTCAGGTGTTAGATGTTTTATTTATTTTTTTTTTATATATATTTTTACATCTCATTTTTACATTTGCATGATGAATATACAGCTTATATATTTTGAATGTTTCTCATATAACACAACATCAACATCTATTTTATCTACTTCTTGGCTCCTCTTTCAGGGTAACTTTAGATGTGGTGCATTAGATTGTCTGTCTTGTTAACATATGATCATGGGGAACAATTTTTGTGCGCAACTCTTTGCGCTTTCTGGCAGGGAGATCTCCCCAGATATATATAAAACCCCAGAAAAAAAAGTAGAGGATCTGAAATGTAAACCATAAAATCAGAGCAATAGCCAAGCATATGTGATAAAAATGGACTGTGCACAGGAAAGAGGAAAGGTCTGGCCATGATAGTATACTCAGCAAAACTGTCAATACTGCAATATTAATGTGTATAGTAAGCGTAAAATCAACATAAGTGGCCAGCATAATCAAATATCAGCCTGTGTTAGTTTTATATATATATATATATATATATATATATATAGTTACTATAGGCAGACTGCATTATAGAATGCTAATAGAGCCATGATAGATATTAAGGAAATTGTTATCCATGTGAGAATACTAAAATGCAAAAATGCAAAAATGATGTAGTTGGATCAGGTAAATCAGAATAATCAGATGCATACCCCATTAGATGTTAACAGGATGCCCCCAAAGAAATGGTGCATAATATATAGCATCCAATATGAGGATAAATCTTCAAGGCAGCATGTAACAAATCCACATGGTGATACCTAAAAAAGCCAAATGAAGACCATAATTTAATAGGACTTTATGAGATTTTATACCAGCCAAGACCCATGGACAAATTTACAAAGAGCCACCATATCTCACAGGGGGACCTATACAGAAACCTGTCCTTGAACTGTGGATGCGGCACTAAAAAAATAAAGTATGATCTGGGGCCTTCAATATGTAAAAGAGGAGGGCTTCGGACAAGCCCCAAACACAGAACAAAATGTGGGAGGACTGCTGCCCTTCATCCGCCATTCGCCAGTATCCAAGATGGCATCAGAAGGCGAGGTGCATCACTTCCAGTCCGGGCAGACCAGAGACATGATATGTGAATAAAGTTTATCCACATTAATAAAGAGGAAGAGATACACGCAAAGCACCCTCTAGTGGACGGATGCCAAAATTATCTAAAATGCAAATAAGCAAGAAAAGCCACTGTAGGAACAGATCAACGAATCAAAAAACACAATATAAAAAAACTGTCTCTAGAGAATGGACAATATTGAAAATGTCTGTTTGAGTAGAAGCATATCATGCATCCATACTCAAGCAGTTAGAAGCCCTGTCAACCATAGATAAGACATTTTCCCTACACTCAGGTTTCAGATTACAGAACTTTTTGCTCTGGGCTGTACGGTGTGTGGCAACAGATCACTATTCCCATACAAAATACCTTTTGAGCTTTGTACTGTGAACAGCAATAGAGAAGAAAGGGTTGCAGATAAACAGGTACAGCTTATATGGGAGGATATAATTCATCACTGTGTATCACCTGAAGTTAGTAGGCCTATGTAAGGGTTTATTATAACTTTAAAATCTACACAAATACAACAGGCAAAGTAGTCTTTCCTGGCAGTGCCATATTTAACAGTCTACCTCTAGATTTATGAAAATGAGCTCATTTATTTATTTATTTATTAGATTTTACACTCTCTTTTAACTTACACTAGATACTGTATACTTT